ATCAGGCATAGATCATCTTGGCTTGACAAGTTTATTAAAATAAAATAACTAAATTATCCAAACGTCTAGTTTAAATGGAAAACGGCCATAAGGTATGAGGGGAGATCGCCTTGCCATTATCAGTTCGACTGGCGGGCTTTGAAATTTCAACACAAAGCAATGGTGGCCGTTTGTGCATGACGAAAATCACATGTTATATGTGTTAGTTATATCTATGGTTACGTTACTATTTATGATATTTACCTTGATTACGCCTCCTATTGGCTGAAGTTCCATCTAAAACATTCTTATAACAGTTTATAACTTTGATGTTAAAAATTGTTTCTACATTTATGAAGTTTACCAAATGACAAGTTTATTAGCTTGACAATAAATTTTCAAAAACTGTAAGACAAGTTCCGTTAAGAAAAAAAATAAAATAATTAAGACCTGAAAAGATATAATTACACTTATGATTTTTTAAAAAACGTACAAGATAAGAATTGAAACATTTTAATCAACATCGTTTTCATTTTCACACTGTAGACTATTTCTGCCTGCATAACTAAATGGAACTTTATAATTGTTTGTTTATAAGTGCGAATACATATCGTGCACAGATTCTGTAGATTATTAAATTTTATCATCGTTTTTGTTATATATATGCATATCAAAGTATTTTATGGTTTGAACTTTCATTTGTGGAAGTTAATCTCATTTTAAATTCAAGCACTCTAGAACGTGAGGGACATGTGGTTCATTTTTAACTGCTGCCATCTATCCTTAATTACTACAACTAGTCTTAAAATAGTTTTGCTTTCGCAGTTTTGCCAAGACTGTATTTTCAGTACTTGTTAAAAAATTAAATGTACTAATTTTAATTAATTTTACTTGTTATTGAATTTAATTTTAATGTAATTATTCACTTATCTCTGATGATAACCACTAGTATTAATTACATACTGATGAGAGCTAAAACATTCCATATCGTTCCTGAAAGTGTCTTATATCATAACCAAGTGCTGTTAAAAAGGTACGGCTATAATATTTAGTTAAAACCTGTAGACTACTGTTTTGACTGTTATTCTTTACTACCACGTTTTAATATTAGGTTTTTTAGATTGAATTTTTTTCCTATGAAATTAGCAAAAGGAATTGAACTGTGTTTTGGGTGCATTTTAACGTTTGACATGAAACAAACTTTTAAAGTCGAGAAAAGGTGAATGTATTTTATTCAAGTTTAAAATTGACATTCAGCTGATGATGGACTTGATAAAGACCTTTATGATTTTAACAAGTACTGTTGATCGAAATGCCCAAGGCTCAAGCTCATGATTGGCTTATTCTCGTGATTTGTTGGACAGATTTTCTTGCCTTAAAGGGAGGGGAGCTATGGAGCAGTAAGTTTTTATTGTATAAAAGAAGGGGCGCTACTGTAGAATGAAAACACAGAATTTGTTTTAAAAAATTGTTCGCTGTTGAAATTGAGATTTTTTATAAAAAATCGTGTCAGATTGTGGTGATTTCTGCTGAATTTTTTTCAAAATGAACAGGAAGAAGCCTAGGCTGATGATATGTTCACGTGATCTGTTTGTAAGTTTTGTATGAATAATCGGATCTTAATAAGTTGTATTTATTTGTTGGAATGTGTATGTGTACTTTCATGTGTGATATAATGTTTTTCTACATTTGTATCTATTGTGTATTGTCAACGTAAATACATAATGAATGCTTCTATAATATATTTTACCTATTCAATACGTATTTCTGACAACTACGAGTTAAAATAATTTTTCTACAATATTATATTTGGTAATACCTTTAATTTTTAACACATTAAATGTTAAGATAGGACAATAACAGGTGATAAGCATTGTTGATAATAGAATTATGAACAAAAGAAATCAGAACGTATTAGAGCTCCTTTCGTAGCAGCAATACCAACACCACTGATGTAGAGTTGCGGGTTTACTTTAAAGACTGCTCCGTCCTGTTTATAGAAGGTGGGACAACGTTTTGGCTGTTATACTGACGTGGCCTATGTACATATTTTTAATATAAGCTATCTATATACAGTTACGTTAAAAAATTTAACGTAGTTTTGTTTGTTTAATTTTATGCAAAGCTACTCGAGGGCTGACTGCACTAGTCGTCTGTAATGTCGAAGTGATGGGCTAAAATGAAGACAGTCAACACCACCCACCGTCAACTTTTGGGCTGCTATTTATCAACATCTGTATTGTTAAGCTAGACTGACTCGTGGAGCTTATTGCAATGCTTTCAGCTTATCGTTTCACAGATGCCGACAAAAAACAAAACAAACTGTGGTAGTATATAAAGTTAACTATGCTCAAGTTATTAGGAATGTTTGGTAAGATTGTTTTTGGATGCTAGCGTTGTAAACGAACCTTATGTTCTTTAACCTTTAATTTTTCAAATTGTTATGATTGATGTGAAATCTACGAAAAGTATTAATGCCATAATTTAAAATTACAGGAAATCTCAATAATACTGTATCAAGAAATTGACTCGTTTATATTTTATTTTTTACATTACGGCACGTGCATGTAATTCTGGAAAATAATATTGTAGAAACTTCAAGATGGAAGGCTAACTCCTGTTTATTTCACTTCATAATTCCAGGCCCGGCATGGCCAGGTGGTTAAGGAGCTCGACTCGCAGTCTGCGGGTCGCGGGTTCGAATCCCAGTCCCACCGAACATGCTTTCAGCCATGGGG